CCCTCGCCTTTTCCCTCTCTGCCACCCCTTCCCCCCTGAAATGAATAATAGAAACATTTTAAGTATTATAGAATCTCATACTTTGTTATATTAAAATTATAATCAGATCTGTACTTTATAAAGTATGTGAATATCAGTGTATCCAAAGGCAGTTGGCTTTAGAAAATATATTTTTTTGTAAACTTAACTAGCATATTAACTTGTAAAATTATGCCTGTGTAGTGCTTTTCAAGGATGATGAGAAAAAAAGAAAGTAAAATTCAGAAATGTTTTAAGTAATCTATAGTTGATTTGTATTTCCAAAAGTGTAATGCGGTAGTTGCTGCCTAGTAATGTGCTGAGTATACAGGGTATAACCAGCTGACATTTATGATGAAATTACCTTCTGAAAACAAACTTGCTCTAACCTATTTGACTCAGTGGATAGAGCGTCAGCCTTCAGACTCAAGGGTTCCAGGTTTGATTCCCGTCAAGAGCATATATCTTAGTTGCGGGTACATACCCAGTAGGGAGTGTGCAGGAGGCAGCTGATCTATGTTTCTCTCTCATCAATGTTTCTAACTCTATCCCTCTCCCTTCCTCTCTATAAAAAAAATCAATAAAATGTATTAAAAAAACACACCACAAACTCAGCGTGTTGAATTGGAGAAGATAGTGGGAATTAAGAATTTGCAAATGGAAGGAAAAACATATATTTAGCAGTTTGCTGTTCACAGTGTATTCTTAATAAAGCTTTTAAAGTATTAAAGAGTTTGACACTATGCTTTTTTGGAAATGTTTGCACTTTTACCTACAGAGCTATAGAGGGTGCTGTATCCTTAAGAAAAGTAGTGGGGCTTGGCTTTAATTTCGTTAGGCCAGAGCATTGAAGTTAATTTATTTTTCTTGGATGTACATCTTTTTTTTTTCTTTCTACTATTTTAATTGAAGTTAGAATTACTAATGTTGCATAATTGGTATAGTTTACAATGAATATTGATATAATGGACTTGGTTGTGAAATGTTTGTCTTTGAGAATATTTAAATATAGTTGAAATTATGATTTCCCTACTTTATACTGGTTAACAAAGGTTTATTTTCCTACCATCTGCCTTCTCCCTCTCCTTCCAAATTGAGAATTGTCCTGTTTTGACAGTTTCTTTTCTTCAGATGGGCCAAAAAACAGTCAAAACATATAATGAACTGTATGCTTCGGTAGGTTTGGTTCAAAGGGTATTATCTTGAGAGGAGAGATTGTTAGAACAAAGTGGAATTTAAAAACCTCGCAGACTTCAGAAGTTGTTGTTTTTGTTTTGTTTTTAAATATATTTTATTGATTTTTTACAGAGAGGAAGAGAAAGAGATAGAGAGTTAGAAACATCGATGATAAAAGAGAATCATCAATCAGCTGCCTCTTGCACACCCCCCACTGGGGATGTGCCCGCAACCAAGGTACATGCCCTTAACCGGAATTGAACCCGGGACCTTTCAGTCCGCAGGCTGACGCTCTGTCCACTGAGCTAAACCGGTTTCAGCTGTTTTTTCTTTCTTTCTTTTTTTTTTTAAAGAAGCTGACTAATTATTCAGATAGGAGTTCTTTAAATTCTAGGCTTAGTCTCTATTTTTTAAAATTTAATGGTGATTTTAGAAAACTTGAAGTCAAATTATCCGATAACACTTTTTTTTTATGGTTAAAAAAGTTTGGGTTTTTATTGTTTTTGCTAAACTGCTATTTTTTATTTTTTTTTATTTTGAAGGAAGGGATGGAATTATTAATTTTGATCCATTTATTTAATTTGTAAAAAAGGGGAAAGAGATCATGGCGTAGAGATAGTAGTTAACTCCCCACTGCATCCTCGAAGTTCTAGTCAGTGACATGAGCATCACCCACTTTCCACTATTCAGATGATGGCACACTTTGCCCCTGAAGGCACAGGGCAATGGGTCCTAGTTTTAGTTCTCAGCAGGTTATTGAAACCAGCTAAAGTGGTGGGCTAAAGTCCAGAAATTCCTTTTTCCCACTCATTAATCCTTATCTCTACCTAATAAAGAGGGAATTTGCAAATTGACCACTCTGCCGTTACAAAGATGGCGGCGCCCAGTCCTTTCAGCCCAGCTGGAGGGGTAGCAGGTGCCGCCCGAGGCTCAGGTAACCAGGGCCAGCCAAGGCTTGCGCTGCTGGCAGTGGCGGCATCAGAGGTGTGATGGGGGCATTGCCTTCCCCTGATCATCAGGTCTCCTCCTGCCATGAGGGCTCCTAGACTATGAGAGGGGCAGGCTGGGCTGAGAGACCCCCCTCCCTCCAGTGCATGCATTTTCATGCACTGGGCCTCTAGTGTGTGTGTATGTGTGTTTACTGATTTCAGAGAGGAGGGTGAGAGAGAGAGAGAGAAACATCAATGATGAGAGAGAATCAATTGGCTGCCTCTTGCACACCACCTTCTGGGGACCAAGACCATAACCTGGCATGTGTCCCTAACCGGAATTGAACCTGGGTCCCTTCAATCCGAAGGCCACTGAGCCGTCTAGGAGAAGTCTGCAACCAAGGTATATGCCCTTGACTGGAATGGGACCCAGGACCCTTTGGTCTGCTGGCCAGCTCTATCTTTTTTTTTTTTTTTTTTTTTTTTTTTTTTTTTTTTAATATATATTTTATTGATATTTTACAGAGCGGAAGGGAGGGAGAGAGAGAGCTAGAAACGTCGATGAGAGAGAAACATCGACCAGCTGCCTCTTGCACACCTCCTACTGGGATGTGCCCGCAACCAAGGTACATGCCCTTGATCAGAATCGAACCCAGGACCATTCAGTCCGCAGACCGACGCTCTACCACTGAGCCAAACCGGTTTCGGCTATCTTTTGAGCTAAACTGGGTAGGGCTGTCCAGAAATTCTTTCCAGGATTTCTGTCCATTGGCTGACCACATACAAACTATCAGGAGCTTATAAAATTTAAGGGGGTGGGGAAGGAGGAGGTTGGCAGAAGATAAATTATATAGGCCATTCAAGCTTTCTCATGGGCTAGTGATTCTGGATACAGACTTCAAGGGAGGCTGTGATAGGTGGACTGTAGGTTTCTGATGAAAGAAAATCATCCCTTGAAGAGGAGTTCAGACATGGCATGCAGAGAAGTTCTTGCAGAGGGTCCTGGAGAAAGGGCAGTTGATCCATCTATGAGATAGGAGGTTCTCCTACTGTGTTTCCCTGAAAATAAGACATCCTCCAAAAATAAGTCCTAGCGCATGGAAAAGTAAGACATCCCCTGAAAATAAGATCTAGCGCATCTTTGAGAACAAAAATTAATATAAGACACTGTCTTATTTTCGGGGAAACAGGGTAGTACTGTGAAGTAAGATGGTAGGCTGATGGAGAATCCTGAGGTTTTGGCCAAATATGAGACTGGTACACACATACAAAACTGAAAAGCCATCAGGAACACCCAAAACCAACTCTGCAAAGTGCTGTCAGAGATTTTTGCTATCTGTTAGTAAAAAGAAAAATGTAAGAAGCAGAAAATATTTAGAGAACATTCAAATATCTCTTCCCCAAGATTATATATTTAAAGTTAAGAAAAAGTAAAACTGATTCAAGCAGTACCCTGTGTAAAGAAAAAAAGAAAAATTTAAAGCGAGACCTCTATCTGCTGCCACAGTCTTAAGTATCACAGTCGAAGAGAAGATGTAAAAGTTTCTTTCATTCATTTAGAAGGCAAGTATGCCACTTATAAAAACACTACCCTGTTTCCCCGAAAATAAGACTGTCTTATATTAATTTTTGCTCCCAAAGATTCACTAGGTCTTATTTTCAGGGGATGTCTTATTTTTCCATGCGCTAGGTCTTATTTTCAGAGGATGTCTTATTTTCGGGGAAACACACTAAAGGCCCAGTGCACGAAATTATGAAATTCATGCGCTGGGGGAGAGGGGGGTCCCTCAGCCTGGCCTGCACCCGCTCCAATCTTGAACTCCTTGGGAGATGACTGACTGCCTTTTTAGGCCCGATCCTGCCTAAACCAGCAGTCGGACATTCCTCTCACAATCCAGGACTGCTGGCTCCTAACCACTTGCCTGCCAGCCTGATCACCCCCTAACCATTCCCCTGCTGACCTGATTGATGCCCAAGTGCTCCCCTGCTAACCTGCCCTCCCCTGCTAACCCGATGACCCACAGCTGCCCTCCCCTGCCGGCCTGATGGTCCCCAACTGCCCTCCTTTGCAAGCCTGATTCCCCCCAACTGCCTGTCCCTGCAGGCCTGGTTGCCCCAGTTGCCCTCCCCTGCTGGCCATCTTGTGATTATGTAGGGGCAGCCATCTTGAGATGACACGGGGACAGCCATCTCGTAAGGGTGTGAGGGTCTATTTGCATATTACATCTTTATTGTATAGGTCTAGAGGCCTGATGCACGAAATTCTTGCAAGAGTGGGCCTTTCTTCTCCTAGCTGCCAGCACCAGCTTCCCTCTGCTACTTGGGACCCAGGCTTTCCTCTGGCCGCTGGCCACCACCCAGGACCTAGCTTCCCTCACAGCCCTGGCTTTAGTCTAATTAGCATATTATGCCTTATTATAGATAAAGGCAGGAACAGACTAGGAAAGGAAAGTAACTTTGGATTCAGTTTCATCAGTGCTAAAGAATTTTGAAATTTTTTAAACTTCGTCAAATTAAATGGAGTGATATATTTTGAAATAAAAGGTAATAAATTATCTGGGTTTAAAAAAATACAAAGAACATCTTAGATAAGTATCTGTTTTTCTAAAATGTGGGCAATTCTAAAGGATTCTGACCCCAACCTTGCAAGTAATTTCTTCCTTTTTCCTAAAACTGTATTTTAAATACTGGTATTTATTATGAAGTTTCAGGTTAATAGTTCCTTAAAAAAAAAAAGTAAGAATTTGTGTTCCTTTGGTACCCCTATTCCACAAAGTGAAAGTGTTTTTTCATTGTGAGAAAAGGATTGTTGTTCAAGTTTCCTTACTGAACACATGTGCTCTATTTTTTTTTGTTTTGTTTCTCTTTAATGTCAAGGCACCTCCTTCCATGGTCAACAGTGAGCAACGCCAGCATGCAGAGCACATATTCTTATCGTTTAGGAAATCGAAGTCACCATTTGCAGTTTGCAAGCATATTTTGGGTAAGTATTCACTTTAAAAATATTTTTGCATGATCACTTCTAATTTTCCTCTCCTGAATATTACATATTTTAAATTCCTTTTAAAATAAGCAGGTTGTATAGTTATAATTTTTTTAAAATTAATAATCATTCTCTGAAGTGGCTTTAAAGATATCCCATGTAGCTAGACAGAATACATTTTTTAATTTTGGATTTTTCTCCCTTAGATATAGTGGTCAATAATTTGTTTTATTATTGATCATAGTGTGAAGGTTGTTAAGAGTGGGGAGGAAAAATTCTAATATTTTTTCAGTTGTTTTCAACTGTGATGTCATTTATTATACCACGTGTACTATGTATTATCTCAGGGTTTTAAAATTTAGATAGTTTTTGGAATTTTCTTCGATTTTCTTTTTCATAGTTTTTTTTTTTTTTTTTTTTTTTTTAAATATGTAGTTTGTACTCAGCTTGCTTAAGTAACTACTAGTCAGTTCTGTGTAAGTTATAACTGTATATCCTAAAGTGAAGCATTGATTTTTACACTTGCATTATGAATACCTTATATCTGACATATGTACAGAAATGATCTCTTTCCAAAAACGATATTTTACATATATATGTAAAATATGGCAGGTGCCATAACTACATTAACTGAGTTCTATTAGTGTTTCATTTAACACACACACACACACACACACACATATATAGTCTTCTGCCTCTTAAATATTTTATAATCTTGTTATTATTGGCTCTTTTTTTCTCTTTTTTTAAATTGGAACCATTTTTGTCACCCAGAGTCAAGGCTCTAAAATGCTGCGTTATCCAGTGACCACAGAATTGGCTAGTTGAATATTAGGAACTAAAATAAAATATCTGACCTTTTATTCTTATGCTTTGACTTATCTGTTAGCCAACAGATTGAAATTGCCTACAATGAAAGTTATAATGTTATAAGTACTCTACATATATGGAGTCATAGAGTTGTTAGATTGAGTGGATTGGAAAAGCTCTCTGCAGGGACTGATGAGGTCCCAGCTCCAGTGGTGCCTGCTGCATTGAGTCACTTACCCTCTCTGAGCCTGTTTTCATCTGTGAAATGGGAGTAGTGATGTCCTCTTCCTTCAGGGATTCGGCTATCTTAAGTTGTTGTGAGGTGCAAATGTTGAATGTAGAAAAGCACTTTGTAAAAACTCAGGTAAATGCCCTGATCCCATTATACATTAAAAATATGATAAGCTTTTTGAAGGAGAAAAATTTAAGTTTTAAAATGCTGTATTTTGTTTGCGAGGAGCTCGCAGTGGTGGTGAAGGTGGCGCTTTCCCACTCAGGAGTTAGATCCTACCATTAAAGGGGAAGCTTTAATAACCACCTTTTAATGAGGAAGTTTTGAAAAAAATTTTGAGTGGTAGTGGTGAGTTTGTTTCTGGCACTGAGATAATTTATTTTATGCCTGTGGAGAATATTTAACTCAGCATTACATTAAAAGAGGCAAAACTAAACATTAGCCTTCAGAATTTAATGGAGACTTGCTTCATCCTTACTTCCTGGAAATTGTTCAGCATTAATGGATTTAGAAAACCATTTTGTTAACTAGCACTTAAAATAAACTGAGAAGGGTTTTCTTCATGGCAGGTGCCATAACTACATTAACTGAGTTCTATTAGTGTTTCATTTAACTTTCTGTTACAATTCAGTCATCATTCTTTACTAGTCAGGAAGTAGTTGATCTAAGTTAGAAGTATTTTATTAGTATATTTGTTTATACCACTTTTTTCGAATATATATATTTATGAAGTATTGTTGTTATGATTTAAGCTTATTTTGGAAAACTTGTTTTTCTGATAAAAATTTCTAAAGACTGGTGTTGCGAATTCCAGCCGTGCTTCTAAAATCATTTTGCGTTTTGAGACATGAACTATTTAAAAGCCTGAGTGCATGTATTACAGTCATTAATGTACTGCCAAGCCCTGTGTTACGTTATATTACATCTAAACTTCACAGAGTATCTTCTAACTCCGTCCTCGTCCTCGGTTGCCATCAGCACAGAAAGGTTAATTCCTCTAAGAAGACTTCTCATGCAAGTGGCAGTCAATCATAGTTCAGAATTTTCACATTCTTGTCTAGGGATTGTATATAATTTTTGTAGAATGTAGGGGCAATATATTCTAATAAAAGGGAGACTTTCTCCTTGATGCTTCCCTTTTCTGGCCTCTTAAAATTCCTCCTTTCCCCTTCTCACTTAAGTTTTATTATGTTTCTCATCTTTCCTCATTTCCTGGTCTTACCCTTTTGTTTTCATTCTAGTTTTAATTTCCCCCCCTCTTTTCTGAAAGTGTGTTTACACACGTTTGTGCATGTTGCATGCTTGTGCATTTTGTCAGAAGAGCACTTTAGACTGCTTCACCTCAGAAGTCTTTGGCATAGGAATTTTTTAGGTTTATGGAGTCAATGTTTCTTAAGAAATCCTCAGTTCTCTTCTTGTTAAAGAACTATTATATTCCCAGACAGTGCGGGAGTCACCGTCTCCTGGGGCTTTGTGACATTCTTTTGTCCTCCTGTCAGGGAGAAATTGAATTCTTTTATTTGTTACCTCAGAAGTATCCAAAATAAAACAAAATGATGTGCATATGTGTCTATCATTAAGCAGAATTTGGGCTTACATTACTTGTACTTTAAAGCCAGAGAGGTGATTGTCTTCACTGATAGCTAGACTTGAGTACTAGGGCTTTCTTTGAAAACAAAACACAAAAAGCTAAACAAAACAAAAAAACCCCACAAACACAACTTTCTGATCAATCAAAACAGAGTGTGTACATTTTCTCTCTGACATTTACTTCATTTTAACTTTTGTCTTCATGGCTCTATCTAGTTTCAGATGGTTGACAAGATACAAATGAATTTTAGTTATGTAATTATTATTAAAGTTACTGTGGTAGGAAATGAAAGTGTGCAACAAAGTGGCCTGAAGATAATTGGTCATTTAGACCGTGCCCTAGTTAGTGGAAAGTTCCCTTAGTTAGAAATTCTAGATGAATGTTAGTTTCTTGTGAAGACCTGTCCCTTTCCAGTGTCTCTCCAGCAGAGAGAAAAACAAGCCTTAGGTACTGTGGGTCCTGCTGGAAAGTTTCTAGGTGCCTGCAAGCAGCATTCGCACATCTAGTATGTTAGGGGTAAGTGTAGTGTAGGAAGGCTAATAACAGTTTTCATGAAAAAGTGTAATTTATTAGGTTACAAAAATTCTTCTTTAAAATTTGGCTTCTTTTTTCCAAATTCCTCCTTTCATAGAGAGTTTTTTTTATGGGGGTAGTAATATAGAGAGATCTTCATTTCATACCAAACAGAAGAGTTACCTTGAGCCATGGCCAGGTACCTCAGTTGGTTAGAGCCTTGTACCATTATGCCAAGGTGGAGGTTCAATTCTCGGTCAGGATACATAGAGGAATCAATTAATGAATGCTTGGATCAGTGGAGCAACAGATGGATGCAACAGATCAGATGGATGTTTTTCCCTTTGTCCCGCTCCCTTTTTCCTTCCCTCCCTCTTCTCTCTCCCTCTCTCCCTTCCCCTCCTCCTCTTTCTAAAAATCAATTTATAAAAAGTCATCTTGGAAACTTTGAATATCATTCACCATTTATAATTGTGCCTTCAGCACAAATAGTTAGAAGTAAGCATGTTCTATTGTCCTTGAAGGCCAGAAGGTCTTACCTTCCTTGGCATGTGCAGTTGGGGCTGGATCAATATTGCTCAAGGAACAGTCCAGCCTTGTGATCTTGGATTTCCTTCTTCATCTCTTGGTGCTTCACTTCCTTTAACTGTAAAATGGCAGGAATTGAACTAGATGATTTTTGGAGTTCTATTTCTAAAGTTTTGTGAATCCCTACGATTGTGCTTTCTTGTTAAAAATCCATGGTTAAGGATTTCAGGTTTCTTGCTCTTAAAATTTTTACTGTTGTAATGGAATATGAAGATAGGCAGAAACCATAATTTTGTTTCAAAGATTTATAATAAGAGATTATTTGAATTACCATTTTGAAGCAGTACTGTATTTCTCCATAAGCGATCCAAATAAATAAAACTGGTTTTTGTTTCAAATCCTTTTTTAATAAAACACTTAATTTTCTCTTGGAACTTTACATGCATCTTTTCATTATAAGTTTCCATTTTTGGAAGCCATTGTTTTATTTAATGATTATTTATTAAGGTTTCTAAATTTTTGTGAGTTTTGATGATCATCTGAATTAGAATTCATGTAAAGATAGCATGGAATAATAAAACGTTGAAAAGAAGGTCCAGATTGGTTCCTCTTATTAGTTTCGGAATTTTCAAGATTCCTAGATAGTAGTATAATGTAATAGGAATTTAAGTAGAGTATACCTTTTCTCTCACATTTTTATGACTAATTGTGTCAAGATCACTTGTAAGCTTTCTAAATGACCTAAACTTGAATTGGAGAGAAAATGGTGTATCTTCATGCTCTGCTGCTAATTTCTTGAAGGTGCCATTGTCTGCCTAGAGTGAATTTCTCATGGCTTTCAGATAATCATGTCCAGTGATCTTGGCAAATAACCTGCACTCTAATCATAGACATTCATGGATTTTACATGGTTACTTTTTGGAGCTTCAGAAAATTTCCACTTTTTCTTGACTTTATTTTGACTGTTTCTTCTTTTTGATCAATGCTCTTTGAAAAGACTAGACTTGTAATGTGAATAAAAGAAAAATAGAAAATTAATATAAAATATTTTTTTGGTATGTTAATTTTCTATTTTTTTCCCCCCTCTGGATTCAATTTCTAGTTAAGATACTATCACTTGCTAGTTATGGCTGGACCTTTCTAAGTGTAGCTTTGGGATTTTACTCAGTTTGATCAGTATTGCAATCAGAAAATTCACAAGAACTTCTCACCTTGTGTAAGTTGATTTCTTTCTTTTTTCTTATTTACTTTTTTTTAATTAGAGAAAAATATCTTAATGATTATATTTATTTCTGAACTTACTATTAGAGATGGGTCATCCTGCTGCAACTTAATTACTTACATTGAAATTTTGTTAATCTTCACCTTAGAATATTTTTCCCATTGATTTTTGGAGAGAGTGAAAGGGACAGAGGGAAGAAAGAAGGGAAGAAAGAAAGAAAGAAAGAAAGAGAGAGAGAGAGAGAGAGAGAGAGAGAGAGAGAGAGAGAGAGAGAGAGAGAGAGAGAGAGAAAGAAAGAAAGATAGATAGATGAGAGAAAGAAAGAAAGAGATGAGAGAAAGAAAGAGAGAGAGGAAAAAGAGAGAGAAAGAGAAACATTCATATGAGACATCCATAGATTGGTTGGCTTCCATACACATCCCAACGAGCCCGGATATCCAACCTGCAACTCAAGTACATGCCCTTGACTGGGAACCCAACCCAAGACCCTTCAGTCTGCAGGCTGGTCCTCTAACCATGGAGCAACCAACCAGGCTACATTGAAATATTTTGACAGTGTGGCTCATCACAAATAGTAATGTTCAAAGACTAGTTTATTAAGGTATTTTGCAGGTATCAAGTTCTGTTTTGCACAGGGTGAGAATCTCTTAGGAAGTTTTCTGAATGCTTTATATTTTTATTTTATTTTTTTTAAAGCTGTGTTATTTTTTAGTTCCTCATGCTTTGGAAGTAACAGTTGAAGAGAGGTGAGGAAAGTTTGTGAAAATTGTGATCGGGGATTAGCTGCCACCTGCCAGAGGTGTCTTCTGAGAGGAACTAACCTCTTTGTGGTGCTAGAGCAAGGTCACTGGATTAAAAAAAACAACAGGTAACCATCTTATTCCTTGTCTGAAAAGTTCAATTAATAAATGCAACGTGTTCAAGGGAAGGTGAGCTGGTGTTTACAGAAAGAACCTAATTCTCTCCTCAGAAACAAGCAAGGTGGACTATGTCCTCTTTCAAGCTGCCACGGCCATCATGGAGGCAGTGGTCCGAGAGTGGATCCTCTTGGAAAAGGGCAGCATTGAGTCACTGCGAACATTCCTTTTAACCTACGTCTTACAGAGGCCCAAGTAAGTACACAAAGGAGTTCTGCTGAAACACTATGCTAAGCTTATCCTTTTGAAGCCTTTCCCTTTGTTTTTCTTTATTTTTTTTAAAGATAGACATTATGGGGAAGCTATGTGTGGGCCTCATATTTTAAAAACTCATTCGGCCCTATTGTTTTGGCTTAGTGAGTAGAGCATCAGCCTGGGGACTGAAGGATCCTGGGTTCGATTCTGGTCAAGTTGAGGGCTCCATTCCCGGTGGGGGGAGTGCAGGAGACAGCCTGTCAATGATTCTCTCATCATTGAAGTTTCTGTCTCTTTTTTTCTCTGAAATCAATAAAAATATATTTAAAAACAGCCCTGGACGGTTTGGTTCAGTGGATAGAGTATCGGCCTGCAAACTGAAAGGTCCCAGGTTCGATTCTGATCAAGGGAAAATGCCCGGGTTGTGGGCTAGATCCCTCGTGGGGGACTTGCAGGAGGCAGCTGATCCATGATTCTCTCATCATGGATGTTTCTCTCTCTCTCTCTCTCTCTCCTTTCCTCTCTGAAATCAATAAAAATAATTAAAAATATATACATATTTAAAAACAAAGCAAACTCCTTATGATTATAGCTTGTTTTGCTACTTAATAAAACAGTGATTTTTTTTTAAAAAAAATTGAATTTATTGGGGTGACAGTGGTTAATAAAATTATATAGGTTTCAGGTGTACATTTCTATAATACATCATCTGTATATTGTATTTTGTGTTCACTACCCCAAGGAAATAATGATTTTTGGGTTTATGATACTAGATTTTGTTTCTTTGAGGAGATTGTGCTGGATGTTAGTTTTTTTGTTTTTTGTTTTGTGGTTGTTTAGAAGATTTTGGTTTTAAGTAAAAGTTGATTTTGGACTCAGTTGAAAAGCCTTTTTAGTTGTTCTTCCTTTGGTGCTTGGTAAATATTATAAGACAGGTGAGTATCCCAAGATGGGTGAAGGAGGAATTAAGTACACTGACAAACCAAACATTACATTTAGAAATGTATGTTACATAAAAAGGTTGTAGAAGAAAAAAAGCACCAAATTCTTTAACATTTTTTTTGGAGAGGGGCTCCAGTTTAAGTAATGGGGTGAAGGTGAATTTCTTTACATGTTATATACATTGTAGTTTTTAAACATTTTATAAGATTGTATATATTTATTATTGCTTTATGTTATTGTTTTTTTTTTTTTTTAAATAAGAGGAAAATTATTAGCACACAACTTTTGGGGGGAGATTCACTTATAACTCTCTTTTTATGTTAAATCCCATAAATGCCAAGTCTTCTTTTAAGAAGAGGCAATGCACAATCTCTATGTGCTGTCCGGGTTGTTGGATACTTTTTTGAATGCATGCTGTTAATTTCCAAGTTTAATGAAGAAAATTTTATGTAATTAAAAACGTTAGTCATGAGGAATGTGGATTGGTGATGATAAACATGCATAAAGCTTTAAAAGTAATAGGGAGCACACTGTTGTTATACCTTCCTACTGACTGTTCATGGGAAGTCTTTGAATTTGTAATATTGAATCATAATTACTGGCATGACTTTAGCTTTCAGTTAAGTGCTAATTGCTTTACATATAGAAGATGCACAAAAGAAAAAAGCCTACATTAGTTTAGCATGTTAGCATTGCATGTTTAATGAATGTGTTCTATATAGATGAGTGGCTATACATGTATCTTTTCTGGTTTTAACAGTGGAAGATAAATTTGCTCCAGTTTCAAACCTTTCTCTTTTTTTATGCTGGTTTTCTTAATTTATTTTTTAAGTGTTCTTTATTATTTATTTTCCTAGTCCTATATAATAAAGAGGGAATATGCTAATTGACCATCACCGTCACAAAGATGGTGGTGCCCACAGCCAATAAGGAGGGAATATGCTAATTGACTGCCATGCCCTCAAAGATGGCGGCACATATAGCCACAAGATAGAGGCGCCCAATCCCTTCAGTCCTGCTGGGGCAGCAGGTGCATGGCATGGCCAGGCCTGCCCCCCGGTGGGTCCAGCGCTCTGTACACCTGCCTCCGGAGTCCCCCAGTCTCTTCAGTCCCCCAGCTGCCCAGGGCCAGCCCAAGGGATGACCAAACGACTGAACAAGCAGGCTGCATGGGGCAATCAGGCCGGCAGTAGGGGTTAGTGAGGAACAGTCAAATGACTGAACAGCATGCTGCATGGGGTGACCAGGCTGGTGGGGAGGAGTGTGAGGGGCAACCAGGTTGACAGGGGCGGGGGGCAGTTGAGAGTGACCAGGATTGCAGGGGAGGCAGGGGCAATTAAGCGGGTGTGGGGGGGCCAGTAAGAGGTAACCAGGCCAGCAGGGGGGGGCAGTTGGGGGCGACCAGACTGGCGGGGGGCAGCAGTTAGGGGAGACTAGACTGGCATAGGGGTGTAGTTGGGTGTGACCATGCCGGTGGGGGTTGGAGGCTATTAGGGGTGACCAGGTTGGTGGCAGAGTGGGGGAGCAGTTAGGAGCGACCAGGCCAGCAGGGAGGGAGCAGTTGGTGGCTGCCTGGTTGGCAGTGGGGAGCAGTTAGGGGTGGTCAGGTCAGCATGCAGAGGCATTGAAGGGCGATCAGGCTGGCAGGGTGGGGGGGCTGTTAGGGGCGACCAGGCAGGCAGGCAGGTGAGCGATTAGGAGCCAGCGGTCCAGAATTGTAAGAGGGATGTCTGACTGACCGGCAGTCGTGCACCTGGCCTCTAGTAATTTATAATTCTTGTCAGAAGAGATAATTGAAACTAGTTTTATGTACATTCCTAGTAATAGTATTCAGCTTTATGTACTTTTTCTAATAGTAGTCAGTGAGTATATTTGAAACTGTCGGGTTCCTCAAAAGTACAAAAATTACCTTTGGTCAACTCATATTCTTGCCTATAATAATAATAGTATCTCTCTATTTGGTTAATGAATGATTTAAGTCTGTATTTTGAAGAAACATTTTTCACATTAGTCTAGATGTAGGGACATGTATTCATTTGCGTAAATTTCTCTCTCTTTTTATTTATTTTTATTTATTTTTTAAATATATTTTATTGATTTTGTACAGAGAGGAAGGGAGAGAGATAGAGAGCTAGAAACATCGATGAGAGAGAGTCATCGATCAGCTGCCTCTTGCACACCCCCCACTGGGGATATGCCCACAACCAAGGCACATGCCCTTGACCGAAATCGAACCCGGAATCCCTCAGTCCCCAAGCCAACGCTCTATCCATTGAGCCAAACCAGTCTCGGCTTCTCTCTCTTTTTTTAAAAAATCCTCATATGAGGGTATTTTTCCATTGAATTTTAGAGAGAGGGAAAGACAGAACTATCAATGTGAGAGAAATGCATCCATTAGTTGCCTCCTGTATGTGCCCTGACCAGGGCCTGGGCTGGCATGGAGCCTGCAACCATAGTATGTGCCTTTGATGGGAATTGAACCTGGTGCCTTGGTCCACAGGCCTACACTCTGTTCACTGAGCCAAGCCAGCTAGGACCATTTGCATTACTTTCTAACATGTCTATCATGTGGCAGACATTATACTTTACCAAGGACTACAGTACCAGCAGGCCTAGCATGGTGGCCCATCTGGGAGATGAAGTTAAATCCCTGGTAACAGATGGTGTTAGAATAGGTGTTGGAGAGCCTCCTTATACCTATTGATGACCAGCCAAGTGTAGGAACTCTCTTCAGGGATGATATCTGGACAAAGTAGCACCACAGTCTGGGCAGAGGGCAGAGTAATTCAGAGGCCTGGAAGTGCGTGAACCTTGTGACAGTAACTGTGAAGAAAGTTCAGTATATCTGCAGTTCTTAGTGTGTGTAGAAAGAATGAAATCAGAGAGGGAAGTCAGTACCCATCCATAAAGAGCCTTAGGAAAGGGTAACCATCATTTATTAGTATGTCCAAATGGGGATACTTTCAGAGTAAAAGAAAGCACTATTTTGAAAAATACTGATTTTTATAGATGGGGAGGGAGAGAGAAAAACACCAATGATGAAAGTTGTTGATCAGCCACTTGTGTACGCCCCACACTGGGGATTTAGACATGTTCCCTGACCAGGAATTAAACCATGACCTGGTTCATTGGTCAGTGCTCAACCACTGAGCTGCACTGATCAGGCAAGAAAGCACTATTAATAACTAGAGGCCCAATGCATGAAATTTGTGTGAGAGTAGGCATTCCTTCCCCCGGCTGCTGGCATCAGATCCCTCTGGCACCTGGGACCCAGGCTTTCCTCTGGCCGTTGGCAGATACCCAGGACCCGGGCTTCCTTCGCAGTCCCAGCTTTGTCTGGAAGGACGTCTGGTCTAATTAGCATATTGTACTTTTATTATTATAGATTATGTTGGACAGCAGGAAATTGGGAGTGTTCCACAAAAGTTCATCTAGGTCCCATTGCTTATAAGTCATGTTAAGGAAATAGGGATATTTTTGCAAGTGTTAGAGGATATGTATAATAGCTGGGTCCATCTACAGGATTTTATGCTAAGTGAAATAAGTCAGAAAAAACAAATACTCCTATGTGGAATCTAAAGCAAAATAAGTGAACAAACAAACTCATAAATAAATACAGAGAACATACTGATGGTTACCAGATGGGAAAGTGGTTCAGGGGGTTAGTGAAAAAGGAAAAGGGATTAAGAAATATAAATTGGCAGTTACAGAATAGCCACAGGGTAGCTCATTTGGTTAGAGTGTTGTCCTGATATACCAAGTTTGCAGGTTGGATCCCCAGTCAGGGCACATACATCAATCAACCAATGGATGTGTAACAAAGTGATGCTTCTCCCTCTCTCCCTATCCCTCCTCCCCTCTCTCTCTGTCTCTAAGAATATATCAATTAAAAAGTAGTCACAGGGTGTAAAGTACAGCATAGGGAATATAGTTAATATTGTAATAACTATGTATGGTGCCAGGTGGGCACTTGGATTATCTGGGGGATTACTTTATAAATTATATAATTGTTTAACTTCTATGTTGTACAACTGAAACTAATAAAATTACTACTGACCCAGTGCATTGATTCGCGCACATTGAAAGGAAATTAATTAGAAGGTGGCCAGTGGGGCAGGACTATGCGAGATGGGGTTGAACACGCCCTAGAGCCAACCTCCCGTGGTTCCTCCCCGGCCAGCTGCACCTGGATTGGTGCTGTGGTTCAAAAGGTGTCTGTACCCCAGTTCTGGGCTCACTGGGGGAGAGCCTAGACTATTTGGTAGCAGGCGAAACTCAAGAGCACCTCACTCTCAGAGGTGTTTGCAGCGAATACCGAAGGACCCTGAGGAACACTGAGACTCAGGAGCCGCATAGGGTGTGGCTGATGGAAGCCAAGGCTGTAGGCTCCACCCTGAAACTCTGCCCCATCTAAGCTGAACACAGAGACTTTTAAGGCTACCAACTCAGGGAAGCTGCGAAAATGCCGAGACAAGGAAACAGATAACAAACGAAAGAAATGGAGGACAAAAAGCGACTGATTATAGAGTTCAAAACCACGCTTATAAGGTTTTTCAAGAATCTCCTAGAAAAGGTCAATAAGACCTATGAGGATATGAAACGGGATCAACTAGAAATAATAAGGGATCAACAAGAAATAATAAGGGATCAACAAGAAATAAAGAATACATTGTCTGAAATAAAAAATATTATACAGAGTCCTAAAAACAGAATGGAAGATCTCAAGAATCAAGTTAAAGATTTGGAACATAAAGAGCCAGAAGACACTCCTCTGCAGAAGCAAGACGACAAGAGAATCCAAAAAGTTGAAGATAATGTAAGAAACCTCTGGGACAACTTCAAGCAAACCAACATCAGAATTATGGGGGTCCCAGAAGATGAGAGAGAGCAAGATATCGAAAACATACTGAAAGAAATAGTGGCAGAAAACTTCCCCCACCTGGTGAAAGAATTAGATCTTTGACCACATGAGGGCAGCTATCTTGATCTTGTGTGTTGGAGTGATGGTCAATCTGCATATTACTCTTATTTGATTGGATTGATGCCTGGTGCATGGGTGGGGGCCAGGTAGTTTGCCCTGAAGAGTATCCTGGATTAGGGTGGGGATTCCCTTGGGGTGTGGGCGGCCTGGGCTAGGGGCCTATGGTGGTTTTCTGGCTGGCCATCCCTCCCTCCCCAATCCACCTGTTAGGCGACCCAAGTGGAGGCCCTGGTGTCTGGAATTTATTTATCTTCTACAATTGGAACTTCGTAGCCTGGAGCAAAGCAAAACCTTCTGTTCGATCTGTGGCTTCAAACATTTCTGTGGGAATTTATGTATCTTATATAATTGAAGTGGAGGCCTGGGCCTGCCACGATATGTGGAAAGCTTGGCTTCCTCCATTGGCGGGGAAACCCAAGCCTCCCTTCTACTCTCTGCGATGGCAGTCATCTTCGTTGGTGTTAATTTGTATACTCACTTTGATTGGCTGGTGGGCATGGCTTGTGGATGTAGCGGAGTGATGGTTAATTTGCATATTACTCTTCTATTAGGTAGGATATTATACTGAGTGGCCAGATTATTATGATCTATGAACACATAATAATCTGGCCACAGTGTGTTTGTGTGTGTGTGTGTGTGTGTGTGTGTGTGTGTGTACACACACACACATACACATACATTAGAGGTCCAGTGCACAAAATTCGTGCATGGGGATAGGGGTTGGTAATGTCTCTCAGCCCAGCCTGCACCCTCTCCAATCTGGGATCCCTCTCACAAACCAGGACTACTGGCTCCCAACTGTGCTGCTTGCTTGCTTTCCTGATTGCCCCTAACCATTTCTGCCTGCCAGCCTGATCACCCCCATCCCCTTCCCTTTCAACCTAATTGATGCCTAACTGCTCCCTTGGCAGCCTATTTGCCCCTAACTGCCCTCCCCTGCTGGCCATTTTGTGGCAGCCATCTTGTGTCACATGAGGATAGTCATCTTTGACCACATAGGAGCAGCCATCTTGTGTGTTGGAGTGACAGTCTATTTGCATATCATTCTTTTATTAGGTAGGAGAGAGGCCTGGTGCACGGGTGGAGGCCAGCTGGTTTGCCCTGAAGGGTGTCCTAGATCAGAGGGTGTTTGCTTGGGGCATGAGACATCCTAGGCGAGGGGCTTATGGTGGTTTGCAGGCCAGGCATGCCCCTCAGTGATTCCAGCGGAGGCCTTGGTATCTGGGATTTACTTATCTTTTATAATTGAAACTTTATAGCCTTCAGTGGAGGTCAGAGCAGGCCAGGAACTTGGCTTCCTCCATTGCCGGAAAAACCCAAGCCTTCTGCTTGCTCCATGGCCACGGCCATCTAGGTTGGATTAATTTGCATACTCACTCCTGATTGGCTGACGGGTGTGGCTTGTGGTTGTAGCAGTGGTATGGTCAATTTGCATAATTCCTCTTATATTATATAGGAGATACACACACACACACACACACACACACACACACACACACACATATATATATATATATATATATATATATATATATATTTTTTTTTTTTAGAGGCCCGGTGCATGAATTCATGCATGGGTGGGGTCCGGCCAGCCTGGCCAGGGAGAGGGGGCTTAGGCGGTTGGCTGGCCTCCCTGCTGGTTGAACTCCTGGTCAAGGGGACAGTTTGCATATTAGCCTCTTATTATAAAGGATATACACTGAGTGGCCAGATTATTATGCCTTCAGAGATCATAATAATTTGGCCACTCAGTATATATAGATGTTGAATGTCAACTCTAATTGAAAAGTTTGGGTTTTATTTCAAGGGCACTTGATAGTTGTATCCTTGTGCACTCTAAAGGCTGGATTGTAAAGTCCAGGGTTATGGTTTCTTTAAGAAACAATTTTGTAGTGGCAGTTAAATCTCTATGCCCTTGTCTAATGACCTTTAAAAAAAAAAAATATATATATATATATATAATTATATATTTTTATTGATTTTAGAGAAGAGGGGAGAATGGGAGAGAGATAGAAACATCATTGATGAGAGAGAATCACTGTTTGGCTGTCTCCTGCACCCCCAACCCACTACTAGGGATCGAGCTCACAAACCAGGCATGTGCCCTTGGCCGGTTTTGAACCCAGGACCTTTCATTCCATAGGCTGAACCAAAGTTGGTGAGGGCTAATGAGCTTATTATAATGCCTCAATTAAGTCCAATACTCCTGCCACCACACCGAGGAACACATCTCAGAGATAAGATTTTTAAAAAGATTTAAAAATTTTGTTTTTGTAACATTGTGTAATGAATAGCTAGCATGCTGCCTTTCCATGGGAATAGACAAGATTATGTTACTGCTTGGAGATGAATATTCAGTCAGAATTTCTCTCTTAATTGGTGGAATCTTAATCTGGCTCTTAGTGAGTTGACTTACATGAATCGAATATTGATTGAAGAAACTAATGATTACATAGTGCTTACTGTGCACTGGGCAAAGTTTTGAGAGCATTCAATTCTTGTAATAATAACTCTGTTATTGTTGTCCGCACACCCCAGAAAAGAAAACTGAGACTGAGTGTTAACTGTCTTACCTATGGTCCCAAAGCCAGTAGGGAATGGAGTGTGGATTTGCACCCAGGTCTTCTGTCTTCGGAGTCTATACATAATCACTGAGACATAAGCAGGTTATTAGGAGGTCAGGCATAGTGAGACATTTGGGAATATTTTTATATTAGAATTATGTGAAATTTTTCACTTTGATCTTTGTTTTACAGCCTCCAAAAATATGTTCGGGAACAGATTCTCTTAGCAGTAGCAGTAATTGTAAAACGAGGCTCACTAGATAAGTCAATTGACTGCAAGAGCATTTTTCATGAAGTCAGCCAGTTGATCAGTAGTGGCAATCCCACTGTGGTAAGTATGCTAACATTTTGTAAATATTTATTTTTTATATTATATAGATTCCATTATTGCAGTGGCTATCTACATGAAAGAAAAAGCAGTTTTTAATTGTTCCTATTTTCTCTAGTCCTTTTCATACATTTGTACATACTGTAGATATAGTGTAGTTCGTTTTTTCATTTGGTCCTGTTTCCATATTGCTCTAGTATTTATAATCATCATTCTAAGATGCAAAGTATCATAAACTAATATACCACACTATGCTTAGCCATTTTCCTTCTATTGAACATTTCCTCCATATTTAATAAACCTTTGATCGCTACTAATGAACACGAATATAGTGTTGGCTAAACTTCCTTTATAAAGGAGCTTTATAGAGATATTTGAAAAAAAGAGATTATTGATGGTGTTCTGTGGATGAAATAGGGTTGACCTCATCAGTTAAGTGAGGTTAAACCATTTAGTTTCGTTGGCCAGAAACTATCTAGTTTGGCTTTCACTCTTCCCTTTCTAATAATGTATTTTTTGTGGCCATCCCTTATACTAGTCTAACTTAAGTGTTTGAATAAATTTGGGGCAGTATAGTAGATGCACTGGTTTTTATTGTGGATCAACACTTAGGGGCTGCCCAGAGGAGACAGTGCTCAATAAGCATTCATCAAGTGTTGATCTCCCCAGTGGTATCACCCTTATATTTATATAATCTTATTAGGACATGAACAATACTAAATGATCTCTTGTTCTATCAAATAATATTTTAATTATTGAAAATTAGAAGTATTTATGCTATTATTTGTGAGTGAAAACTGTGTATTAAAATTGAAAACCAACTTATTAGCTCTAATTTTAATGCCTTAAGAGATATTTTATAGTCTTGATTCTCTATAGATAATTTTGTGGACGACTATCTAATTCATAAAATGTTTCCTAAGGATATTATATTTTTCAGACACAGTACTGTTCCCATTTATCATAACGTGTTTTTAGAGCAAGTGTGCTTGGACAGTTATTAGATAACTAGAGGTCTGGTTGGGGGGTCCCTTCAGCCCAGCCTGCACCCTTTTGCAGTCTGGGAGCCCTCAGGGGATGTCCGGTTGACAGCTCCCCCCACGGGGAGTAGGCCAAACCCGTCAGTCAGACATCCTTGGACATCCTTGGAGTTGCTGCGGAGGCAGGAGAGGCTGCCACTACTGTTGCTGTGCTTGCCAGCTGTGAGCCCAGCTTCTGGCTGACCAATGTTCCTCCTGTGGGAGTGCACTGACCATCAGGGGGCAGCTCCTGCATTGAGCATCTGCCTCCTGGTGGTCAGTGTGTGTCATGGTGACTGGTTGTTCTGCTGTCGTGCCGAAACCGGCTCTCCAACATCCCCCGAAGAGTTCCGGATTGCAAGAGGGCACAGGCCAGGCCGAGAGACCCCACCAATGCACGATTAGGGCCGGGAGGGATGCGGAGATTGGTCAGCTGGGGAGGGACCGTGGGAGGGCTGTAGGTTATGTCTAGCCCATCTCACTCAGTCCCGATGGACTGGACCCCATCAGGAAGCTGACCTACTGGCCGGAACATCTGCCCCCTGGTGGTCAGTGCATGTCATAGTGAGCAGTTGAATGGCCTTAGCATATCATTAGCATATTATGCTTTGATTAGTTGAATGACCGGATGACCAGACACTTAGCACATTATGCTTTTATTATATAGGATAGTTGTTTCATGCCCTTCTTTATGATGGTTCATTTTCCTTCTGTTGCTATAAAGGTTTCTGAGGTTACTTCACTGCAGTCTGCAAGGGTCAGATTTACTGTGTACTAGTTAGAAGGATAGATATAGAAACTTTAACTTCTTAAGGAAACGAGCTAAATGTTTTTGTTTGAAATAAATGTTTAAGCAAAATTTTAATCTGTTTCTTGTGTTTTTTTAATTTCCTTTGATAGTAGGCATACATTAAATCACTTTTATAGCTGTTTAATTTAGCATTTCTTTCTTTCTCTTTGCCATGTGAGAGAAGTGGGTGAGAAACTCACTTATTCATAGCAGCACTGCCCTGGATGTGATACTAGCTTAATCTCTCTTATCACAAGTCTCATTGGTTAGAGGAACAGCTGGAAGTCTGAATGTACGGCAACCTTTCATAAAGTTTATTCTTGGTAATAAAGCTCCTGGGGTAAGAGCCAAGCTATTATAAGAGACAATCCTCTCTCTGAACAAGAGTATTGTATTTTGTCAGCTGGAGTTAGTGTTTGAATATCTTGTGCTTGTGACAGTAAGCTGGTGAGTAAGGCAAGCTACCTCTTAAGGTATTTTTTCACTGTAATGAAATTAATGGCTTTTAATAAAAATGAGAATGCTGCTGTAAGACTTTAATGTGAAGACAACAGTTACTTAGTTGTTAGTGAATTAATTTGTGGATTTTCAGTACTTCAATGAAAGAGAACAGATTAGACAATTTTATAACCTTGAAATTGAATTTCTTCTTGTTCCACATATTTAAATTTTCTTTTTGGAATTTATCAACAACTAAAAAGATAGGGAATACATTGTGTATTCATTTTTCACTTCCTCGTTGTATTAATATAGTGTTGATGTAGAGATAAAGTTGACTCATTAATCCAGCATCTATTGTTACTTTAGTGATGCTCTAGTTATGACTTTGCCTTATTAATTTATAACCTATCTTGTGATTTTAATTTGGTGGAATATAGATAATAAAGAAGTAGGATTAGAAAAGCCAAAATAGGTGATTATTTTATATCATGATGATAAAAATTCTGTTGCTTCTTTATCTTATGGTAACCTGCTACATTTTACATGGCACTTTTACCTGCATGATTTAATTTGAACCTTAGGACAGTCACATGAATTAGGCAGGGCAGAGGGTGTGACCCTTTTTGTAGGTGAAAAAAATGAAGCCAAGACAGAAGTGAATTGCCCTCAGGTACAATCCTGAGCTGTTGTAACCCAGATTTCCTGAATTCTTTGTCTAAACAGGAGGATTCTAGTACTGGACTCCAGAAAGAGTCCTGTAATGTTTTCATTTAGAATTTATTTTGGATATAGTTTTAATAAATTGTATTACTTGGTTTCTAATTTGTTGGAAATAAGAATTATCAATTTAGGATGGCTTGTTAGTGCTAGTTACATTGCAAACAGCTTGTGTGCCACTAGACCAAGATGACTGAGAAAAACAGGAGTGGTGTAATCCGAAAGCGCGGGCTCTGGCACCCCTTGGTCATGCACGTAAAGTAAAGCCTGTGTGGTTTAGTAGATTTCATTTGTTTTCTATTGTAACATCAAACAGTAAGTGCCTTAGAAATAAGCCTTTTGGAAAAATTTATAAGAACTAAGTTCCATGAAAAATACTTGCTGCATTTGGAAAATGAACAGATATTTGCTTAGTTCTTTTTTTTATCTTGGATAAATGAAGCCTTGCTATATTAACTTTTCATAAGTCTCAGACTTATTAATGGTGTTTATACTAGTTTAATTCCTGTAAACTGTAGTAGACAATCTCAAACTTTTATCAGTCAACTTTGATCAAATTTCATTGAAATTCACCATTCTAAATTATTTAGAACAGCTTTTTTTCTTTACCCTCTTGAGGATCAGAGTCATTGTCTCCAGTACGGAAATAATAGCCCTGACTGTGGTAAGGGATTGAGAGGCAATACTTGAAGATACAATAAAACCTCCACGTAATGGACTAATGTGAGGAGTTTGTCCTGAAAGGTGAAAGTCTTTTATGTAACAAAGTAGCTTTTCTGAGTTCGTATGTTAAAAAAGTGACAGATTAGTTCGTTTACCTGCCTTTACTTGTGTAGACATGTTTGTGTAATAAAATTAAGTATGCATACCCCTGGCTGATGTGACTCATTGATTAGAGCATTGACCCTCACATTGAAGGGTTGTGGGTTTGATTCCCAGTCAAGAGCACATACCTGGGTTGTAGGTTCAATCTCTGACTCTGGTCAGGGTATGTAAAGGAGGCAACCAATCCATAATCTATATTTCTCTCTTACATTGATGTACCTCTCTCCCTATCTCTGTCATATTCTCTTCCTACATCTCTTTCTCCCCTTCCTTTCTCTCTTACACTCTTTCCAAAATTCAATGGAAAAAATATACTCAGTGAGGATGAACAAAAACACTTTAATTTTAACGTGAGACATATGAACTGGAAATTTTGTCTCTTAAATCCAAAATCCATTAAATTGAGGCCCTCAAAATTGAGGGTTTACGGTACTAATTGGTGGGGGGGGGGGGGGTCAGATGGGCTAATCATTAAGATCTAAGTCTGAAGCAAGCACACAGGAACCTCCTTCTACAGGGTAAGCAAAGCAAAACACTTGTGACCTCTCATGGGATTGGATGCTTACCCCTTTCCTCTCTCTCTCTGTCCTGAGAGGGAGCTGTCCCCTTCTCTCTCTTAGGATTACATTTTCAGCTTGCTTCCCAACTATTGTCATTGTAATGCACTTACCATGAGAGTAATTTTGAGATTTTATTTAATTGATAATTAAATAGTAAAAATGAGTGAACACTTTGGGAAATGAGTCTTAGATGCCCTATGATATTAATTCTTCTTCTATGAATAGCCAGAAATACTCTGTTGATATGTGCAGAGGTGCTTTGCTATCTTAATGTACAGTCAGTACTTAATCATTTATTATTCTCCAGGTATGGCACCTTTGAGCATTAGCAATAGAGTATAATTAATGTTTATGATACTGCTCTCAAGTCTTTACAGGACTTCCAAATTAAGGGTTAATTAAACTATTTGGTATCTTTAAACGATGAAATATCTTAGTTATTTGAAAGCTGGTAATTTTAGATACATTAAAATCAGAATATTTGATTTCTGGTAATAACTCTTAGCCGTATTGCATAATTTATTTTCATGTATTTCTTAAGTCTTTGAGTGGTAAATTTGAAAAGAACACAGTTGCTGTTAAAAATTTGTGTTTTCATTTTATAAATATGAAGAGGAAAAGGAAAATACAAAACCCGACATCTCGGTTGATGGTGATGGGGTGTATGTAATGATACCTGTGCGTCAACACACCTGGAAGTTGTGGACAAATGTTAACAGTCGTGGCCCTCGGAGAGTAGGATTGTGGGAAATTTTATTCCCGTCTGTGCTTTTCTGTACTTTCTGTTTTTAAAAGATGATGATACATTATTTTTGTAGGAAGAAAAAGTTATTTTAAAACAAAATGTTCAGAGATCTAATAAGCCTGTAATAAGAAAGTATTTTGATTTAATTATCATGGATTAAGAATATACTTGCTTTTATGGGTGAATTAGAGTTTCCTTAGAGTAAAAGTTTGCTGTTTTAGAGCAAGCATGTCAAACCAAATGGCTAAGATGGGCCAAATAAACACGGTTTAAGTTTATGTAGCCACACCACAAATAAATAAATAAATAAATAAATAAATAAATAAATAAATAAAGATTCAGTTTTTATAGAAATATATGTCTATTTCAATAGAGACATGTTGTATAAAGGACTGAAATAAACGAGTGATCGTCAACATAAAATAATAGAACATTTTAATAAAAATTAATGTTTTTTTCCTTGAACATTAACTTATCAGATACTGAATAACTGCACAAATTAATAAGCCTAATGCAAATAAACCTATTTTTCTTGGCCTCCGAAAGCAAAATATTTCCTGTTGCGCACACCAAACAAGTGTAGAAGACTAATAACGTGGCAGATTCACTGCTGGTGCCAGTGGAGAGAAATGGAGCACCTGCACATAAAATGCATAAGGGAAATGAATGCAACATGATTATGTAATAGTAATCAGTCATTAGCTAGCGAACGTTGTAGTTTGTTATTAATGATTATGTGTGACAGGATATTTTAAAAATTAAGTTATGAAATTTTTATTAAAACGTTTATTATTCGTTGTGGGCCGCAGGCGGCTCAAGAGCTTGACATTCCTGCTTTAAACTGTGAAATGGAATGAGCGTGCGATGAGCTGTTCTCTGTGAGAGAAGGCAGATAAACGTGTACACTTCTCTAAATGATTTAGGGAAGAGGGACATTTTTATATTAAAACAAATGTTTATTTTGAGATAAATTTACAAAGTGTGTAGTGTGTGTTTAAGTGGGTTCAGAGTATTTTATCCTTCTTGAAAGAAGTTTGATCTGTCCCCCTGATTCTTGGCAAATTTGCATGCGTTCTCTGTTAGGGCTTCCTGTTATGGAAGAGTGTGAGAAAATGCTGTAGTGTATGGGCTAGTATGCCATCTGTAAATATCAGTTATATATCATGCTTATTTTAGTTGAGATTAAGAGGCCAATAGTAATTTAATTATTTTTACATTTTGTAGAAGAAAATTTCAGATATATGCAAAAATAGACAAGAGTGTATTGGTCAGTCAAGTAACCATCATTCAGTTTCAACCAATATCAACTCATTGCAATACTTGGGAATTTGATTTTATGTATATTTGTTAAGATTTGCCAAGAAAAGCATCTGTAAGGTCAAGGTACCCACATCACAAGCATTTCTGAACAAAGATGTGGCAGTGGTGGCGGGATGACTGCTCAGCTGCTGTGTTGGCGTGAATAGTATCTTCTTGGCTTTAATCTTTGGTTATTCAGAGGTAGTGAGCATATTTCTGTTTAACCCCTGGAAATGTGCCAAAATAATTTGTATCCTCTCCATTCTTGGCACCTTGATTCTAAATAGTCTGTGAATAAAAATAATGAGTTGATATTAGTAGCCTGTTGGATAGAGCCATTGAGAAGGAAAACCTTAATTTTTAACGGAAATTAAAAAAAAATATTACCTGGTTAATATTTGGAAGACTATAAACTTTCAGTTTTTCATCTATTTGGAAATACATTTTATTATCATCTGAGTGTAGAAAGACCTGGGCTCAATTTCAGCTGGACTTCATTTCTTTTTCTTCTTTTTAAAAAATACTTTTTGTGTTTATTTATTTATTTTTATAAATCAACATTGTTGAAAGTATTAGATATGTCCCTTTTTTCTGCCCCCATTACCCTTACCCACTCTCCATCTTCATTTCTTAATGTCTGTGAATCTCATTTCTTTCTAATGTAAAGTGGGGCATGATTAAGTGTTGTGTGAATTAAATGAAATAATACATTCAATATCTTAAAATATCACTTGTACTCTGATCAAATTAGGAATATATCCTGAGTTCAAGTGTTGAATGGATTTGGGTAACTGGGATTGAGGAAGAACTAACAATTACTAGGCCACTTAGGAAGGAGAGCCAATCATTATTTTTACTATCTGGTTTTCTGTTTGGTAGATATAAATCTAAAGACATAATGGAAGATCTAAAGATAGAAAGGAAATGTTTCATTATGTTTGAACAAATGTGGTTTTGAAACAAACTGTTAAGAAAAATAATGCCTCTTAATTATTTCTTACCTAATAATTACAGCAAACTCTGGCCTGTTCTATTCTGACTGCACTATTGAGTGAATTCTCAAGTTCAAGTAAAACTAGCAACATTGGACTGAGTATGGAATTTCATGGTAACTGCAAAAGAGTTTTTCAGGTATTAGCTTTTTTGTTCTTACGTTTTAATTATCAGATCATGCACTTTTTATGTAGTCTGTTCCCAATGCAGTGAGAACATTTATTTTATCTGAATGACAGCCTGCACCAAAGGTTTGTGTTGTGATTTGTTAGAATATATTAAAGTGATAGGTTTGGTGAGTATAGATGACAATTTAAAGTTATTTGTTTAATGCTAGTCTTTAAATAAAACAAAAAGGAAATACACTCTAAAGATTTCTAGTTTACTTAATTTGATCTTACTGTGTTTAGATGTCAGTGCTTCAATTGGTGGAACTCTGCTGGCCTTAAAAATAGGCCTGGCAGAATGCCCATGAGGGCTGTGTATTTAAAATGTTATTGCAGGTGGTATGGGCTCTTTGTCTTGTGTGTATTGTTTGGCTCTGAAATAAAGTTATGTGAAGGCACTGGCTTAAGTCCGAGGACCCTGTAGTAGAACAGCTGACCCTCCAGCTCTGTCTAGTTGTCAGACTTATTGCTCCACAGAATAGCCTTTTTCTTTTTCTTTTTCTTTTTTCTTTTTTAATATATTTTATTGATTTTTCACAGAGAGGAAGAGAGAGGGATAGTTAGAAACGTCGATGAGAGAGAATCATCCATCAGCTGCCTCCTGCACACCCCCTACTGGGATTGTGCCCGCAACCAATGTACATGCCCTTGTCCGGAATCGAACCCGTGACCTTCCAGTCCGCAGGCTGACACTCTACCCACTGAGCCACACCGGTTTTGGCCACAGAATAGCCTTTTGTCACCGTAAATGTGTTCAAACTGGTGTCACTTGAAAGCTTACTGTGGTGAAAAGATGAGCAGGCCTTAAAATGGAAAATGTTCCTAAAAAAATAGTGTTTTCGATTGGAAATGTTAAGGTTTTTGTTTGTTTTCTTTTATAGTTCTAAAAGGGAATGCAGTTTGAATAAGCTTTTGACACAAAAATACTTGTGACTTATTTACTGCAGGAAGAAGACCTTCGACAGATCTTCGTGTTAACTGTGGAAGTTTTGCAGGAGTTCAGCAGGCGGGAAAACCTCAGTGCTCAGATGTCCTCAGTGTTTCAGCGCTACCTCTCACTCGCAAATCAGGTCTTGAGCTGGAACTTTCTTCCTCCAAATTATATCCTTTAACAATGGAATAAGATGACAATATGGCTGGAAGTACCTTATCTCTTTGGTTTGTAAAACATGTTGAAAGGAAATAAGTATTTTTTAGAAGTGTGATGTAATTAACTTGTATTTTATATTATAGACCTGGTGCATGGATCATGGACCGGTGGGGTCCCTCAGCCTGGCCTACACCCTCTTGCAATCTGGGTCGCCTTGGGGGATGTTGGACTGCTGGTTTCCCAGGATTGGGCCTAAACCAGCAGCCCAACATCCCCCGAGATAGGTAGTAGTGCATGAAGCGGCAGGTGGCTGGGGAGGACCCCAAGCTTGGGCCAGGTGTCACACTGCATCCCTGCCTTGCAACGCCTCCCTTCATGGCAACTTGGTGACACTGCCTCGGAGGTTGGAGAGGATTGTGTCGCCATAGCAGTGCTCACTAGCTGTGAGCCCGGCATCTGGGGCCTGTTGATCAGCTGAGCATCACTCCCACTTTGGGAGCTCACTGACCATCAGGGGCCATTCCTGTGTTGAGCATCTGTCCCCTGGTGGTCAGTCTGTATCATAGCGACTGGGCGGTGGACCAGTCACTTAGGGTTTTATACCTAAACCAGGGGCCCAGTGCACGAAATTTGTGCACTGGGGGGGGGGGGGAGAAGAGGCGGGTCCCTCAGCGCATCCTGTCCTCTCTCACAGACTGGGAGCCCTCAGGGGATGTCCTACTGACGATATCCTGTAGGAAGCGGGCCTAAGCTGCAAACTGGCCTCCCTCTGCAGGAGGCAACCAGACTGATCAGGGGAAGGCACCAGACCCATCTTCCCTCTGCCAGCCACCACAGCCACCAAGGTGTTTTCATCAACATGGACTCCATCTTTTCACCGTGAATGGATGACAACTTTCTTTAGGCATTTTCAAGATGTGTCTTTTATAGTATATGACATTTCTTTTTTTCTTTTCTTTTTTTTTAATCCTCACTAGGGGATATATTTCCATTGATTTTTAAAAAAAATATATTTTATTGATTTTTTTTACAGAGAGGAAGGGAGAGGGATAAAGAACTAGAAACATCAATGAGAGAGAAACACCGACCAGCTGCCTCCTGCACATCTCCTATCAGGGATGTGCCCACAACCAATGTACATGCCCTTGACCTGGGATCTTTCAGTCCTCAGACCGATGCTGTATCCACTGAGCCAAACCAGTTTTGGCTCCATTGATTTTTTAGAGAGTGTGGAAGAGAGAGGGAGAAACATTAGTGTGAGAGGGATACTTTGATTGCTTGCCTCCTAAATGAGCCCTGACCTGGGCCCCGGCCAGGGAGGAGCCTGTAACCTAGGTACATGCCCTTGATTAGAATCGAACCCGGACCCTGTGGTTGGCAGGCTGAGGCTCTATCCACTGAGCAAAACAGGCTAGGGCAGAATATGACATTCCTTAGCCCCTCCAGCAGCAGACCTTCGTTTTTTTTCTCCAGAAGTGAGGTGAAAAAACCCTAGATCACCTTCTTGGATTCTTACTACCCAAGTTACTAAGAACACTGCAAGTGGAGGTGTATAGGGAGTTTAGCCAACGAGTGGACAGATAAGGTGTTTATTCTCAAACATAGTTTGGCTCAATGGATAGAACATTGGCCTGTAGACAGAAGGGTCGCAGGTTTGATTCCTGTTAAGGGCATATACTTTGGTTGGGGGCACATCCTCATTGGGGAATGTGCAGGACGCAGCTGATTGATGTTTCTGACTCTCCCCTTTTCTCTGTAAAACATCAATAAAATATATTTTTTTAAAAAGAAAAGAAAAGGTGTTTCCTCTGCAGCCCATGTGCAGAGGATCCCGTGCTTTATGTCCACTAGGCTAGGGGTGTGTCCCCGATCGCTGGGGGATGCCCTCAAGCCCAGCTGCTGTTTGTTTGCTATGTCCGTGGACTGAGGGGCGTGGACCCGGGCCACTTGGCGTGGGTGCAAGTGGCCCCGGAGCAGGAACTTACGCTGCATTGGCATGATGACACGGCTCAAGTGGCATTGGGGCGGAAATTCCCACCCCCATCCCGCGACCACTTGCGCTTGCAGCTCCCAGCCAATCACCCTGAGACCTTGGCTACTTGGTGCCAGCGCCCATCGGCCACTTCTGTCTTGGAACGTTCTGGGACCCTGGCTTCTCGGGGCCTACAGGCTTGGAGCAGTCTAGGTCCTGAGGATGTTCTTGGGACCCAGGCTACTTGGCGCCATGTAAGCAAATTAACCTGCCATCTTTGTTGGATTAATTTCGTACTCACTCCTGATTGGCTGGTAAGCGTAGCGGAGGTACAGTCAATTTACATGTTTCTCTTTTACTATATAAGATTATATAGGACTAGATGCCTGATGCACAACATTAATGTACTGGTAGTGGAGGAGAGTCCCTCAGCCCACCTGTGATCTCTCGCAGTCCAGCACCCCTTGAGGGATGTCGATTGCTAGCTCAGGCCCATTGAGTAGGCCTGAGCTTGCAGTCGGATATTCTTAGCATTGCTGTGGAGACAGGAGAGCCTCTCGCTGCTGGGCTTGCCAGCTGTGAGCCTGGCTTCTGGGAGCACACTGACCAACAGGGGGAAGCTCCTGCATTGAGCATCTGACCCCTGGTGGTCACTGCATGTCATAGTGACCGGTCGTTTTGCCATTTGGTTGATTTGCATATCAGGATGTTATTATATAGGATACTAGAGGCCCAGTGCACTGGAGGGGTGTCCCTCAGCCCACCCTGCACCCTCTCCAATCTGGGTCCCCTTAGGAGATGTCTGACTGCCAGTTTAGACCTGATTCCTGTGGCACAAAATTTGGTTTAGGCCTAATACCTATGGAAACATCCCTCTCACAGTCTGTGACTGCTGGCTCCTAACCACTCGCCAGCCTGCCTAATCGCCCTTAACCGCTCCCCTGCCAGTGTGATTGAAGCCTAACTGCTCCTCTGCAGGCTTGATCATCCCCAAATGCCCTCCCCTGCCTACCATCTTGTGGTGGCTATCATGTGACGATGTGGGGGTGGCCATCATATGATGATGAGAGGGCACGAGGGCCGCTTAGGCTTTTAGTAGTATAGATTATATCCTATATAACAAAGAGCTAATATGCTAATTAGACTGAATAGCAGAACAACTGTCCGGACGACCTGGATGAAGCTGAGGGTCTGTGAGGGCTGAGCCCTTTGCATGAGTTTCAGGCATCTGGCCTCTAGTAGATATATAAAAACCAAGCAACCAGAACAACCAGTTGCTATTGATGTGCACTATGGCCGGCCAGCCGGCCCGCCAAATTGTGTCCCTCCCCTCCCAAACCTTGAAGGGGGGCATGGCAGGCTGGCCACCCTCCTTTGGTCCCTCCCCCATGCACAAATTAGGGCACTGGGCCTCTAGTATATAGATAATACATAGTACACTGGACCACTCAGAGGAATTAAAATTACATTTACAATTTTGTAGAAGATTGACTAAATGGAAAACTGACTGGATGTTGAGAATCTTGTTCCCTAAAGGAAGGGCAGTAACTGTTAGGCAGGAAAAGGAGAAAATGAGAAGTGTATTTCTATCAAGCAACTGAATTGTTTCTCCTTATAGAATGTAATGACTTGGATATTTTGACTGTCTTTCCTTAAGTCTCTAACTTGACTTTTTAAAAAAATCCTCACCTGAGGATATGTTTGCAGAGAAGGGGGGAGTGGGATAGGGAGGGACAGAAGGTGAGGAGGAGGGAGGGAGAGAGGGAGGGAGGGAGGGAGGGAGGGAGGAAAGGAGGGAGGGAGGGAGGGAGGGAGGGAGGGAGAGAGAGAGAGAGAGAGAGAGAGAGAGAGAGAGAGAGAGAGAGAGAGAAACATTAATCCATTGCCTTCCATAGGCACCCTGACTGGTGATTGAACCAAAACCTAGGTATATGCTCTAATAGAGAATTGAACCAGCCACTTTTCAGTGTATGAGACAGCTCTCCAACCAACTGAGTTACCTGGCTAAGACTCTTAATTTAATTCTTATGGTGACAGTATTGTTCAGGGGTAAATAATAAGGTCATTATGTTTATTCTTCAAAGATGTGTTTAATGGAAAATATGAAAATTTTATTTCTAGCAAATTATTAGTAATACAAAAGCAGTTTAAGTGGGTTAGATTACAGCTTTAAATATATACGCTTTTTGCCCAACTGGTATGGCTCAGTGGTTGAGTGTTGACCTATGAACCAAGAGGTTCATAGTTCGATTCCCAGTCTGGTCACTTGGCCAGATTGTGATCTGGATCCCCAATGTAGGATGTGCAGGAGGCAACCTAATAATGATTTTCATCATTTATGTTTCTTTCTCTCCCTCTCCTTCTCCCTCTCCCTTCCTCTCTGAAATAAAAAACAACAACAAATATTTAAAAAATATATCTACTTTTTAAATCAGTTACTGAAGTTGCAAGTTTATATTATGGAGAGCATCTATTTAAAGTTCACAATTTGCTATTCTGGAACATTTGCTGCCCATTGATAGATTGAAGGCAGTACTACACAGTGGCTCCCTTTTGTGTCACGTTGAGTCAGACATATCTAAGATCAGTCTCAGCTGAACAAAGGTAAATTACTTAACCTCTCTGAGACTCAGTTTTTCCAAATGTAAAATGAGGATATGGAATGTTAAGTGGATTAAATGAAATAATCATTTACAACACTCAGAACTTAGCCAGTATTTCTTGAGGTCCTATTAGTCTCCTTGAATAAAGAAGTTCATCAGCTAGCTACCTGCAAATGCTCTTCCTTCTTAAATCTGACATACTACCTATGGATAGGAAATTATAGATGGTTTAATTTAATCTATTCTAGATGTCTTTAATCAATCCTTTCCCTAAGGCAGTTATGGTGAATTGCTGTTCTGTGGGGCAGTTTACAGGAAGTTTATCACTTCCTCCTTTTATCCCTAATCTCTAATCTTTTTTCTTAACAAACAATGTTATATATTATTTATTTACATTTTTGGATT